AGAGAAGAGAGTTTAATGGAGACGGACGATGAGTAGCATATTTGTCTCGAGAGTGCTTAGGTCGCCTTAGATTATGCAATATAGGAAAGTATTATTGAATGACCGTGTGGACAAATAGCCCTAGAATCGGGACCTGATTCGCAGTATTCCCACTGTGCAATTGCAGGGGCAAAGTTCGAGGAATTCAAATGTTGAGATGTGGTACTAATCATAAAACAAAACCCGCTAACTGCTAAAAGTCACGCACCACAAAACGGAAAAAAAGGACCTCAAAAAAGAAACGGAAACAGAAATGTGCACTCTAAGCCGCACCACTCGCCACCCCCCCACTCCCCGCTCCTCCGGTCCAACCGCCCCCGCTGCCCTCAAAACCCGCTTCGCTCCCAACTTTCCTCCCAAACCCGCCACCGTTCCACCACCCGAAACCCGTCGCCCTCTCAAGATCCGCACCCGAATCCAGTTTCCAACCCGAACCCGAACCCGAACCCGAATCGGTCTCGGTCGAGGATGACGGGTTCGAGATCGAGGTTCAGAAAGCGGAGGAGAAGAAGAACCGGAGGGTCATCCGGTCTCGGATCCGGGTCGACGCGGATCTCGAAACCGTCTGGGGGGTGTTAACGGATTACGAGGGCTTGGCGGGCTTCATCCCGAGCTTGGCCGTGAGCCAGTTGATGGAGAAGGGGGATAAATTCGCGAGGCTGTATCAGGTAATTTTTGGGTTTTTAATGATTTTTGGGTTTTATTTGCGGGGGTTAGGGGCTTAAATTAAAGTAGGTGAAAAAAGCAATCAAGTTTCCAAAATGCATAATTAGCTGTCATAGATGTAAGCAGGTGAAAAATAGAAAAAGAAAGAAAAAGAGGACAATTTTGTGAATACTTGATTCGTTTCAGATCATGCACCCATTATTTCGAGCCTGATTTTGATGGATTTTGGTGTTGATTTTGATTGATTTGGTAATTACACGTTCTTGTTTAACTAGTGCACGGTTAACAATCTGGGTGGCAATATAACGAAAGGTAATTTCAAACGCTTCAAAGATTTGGGAGACTAATTGCAAGATTTGAAGATTTGATGTGAGGGACTACTTCCAACTATGAGAGATTTGAGGGATTAATTTTAAATATGAAAGCTTTGAGGACCAATTTCAAATGTGAAAGATTTGAGAGACTAATATGAAAGCACTCATATATATATATAGTCATTTGTAAAAAGTCTGGGGCCCCTGTCCCTTGGCTCCGCCAGTGTTTATAAGCAATTAACCCATGAGAAATATTTTCATGATTTTTCAAATGATAATGTAGAAATGAATTGAAGAAGAAGAAGAAGACGGTGTTGTTCTTGATATAATCTTTACTATGTGATGACAAACCCTACATTAGTAAAGCGGGTTGATGTGAACCATAATACAGAGCATAGTAGGAAGTTGGTTTTATTGATGCGTTTAAAGATTAAGGTGGAAAGCGGAAATAGAAGGGAGAAGTAAATTTTAAAAAGAAGAAGAAGAAGAAGAAGAAGAAGAAGAAGATAACATGATAACAAAGTGTCAATATTTCTTCGCACAAAGAACTTGATCCATTGAACTATTGCTACTTAATAATAGTCTTAACTTTACATGCTAGAAACTATAGTGAATTATTTAAAGTTGATCTTGACTATCTGAAAAAATATGAACGAATTAACTTAGTAAACCACGTCTAAGACTCTAAGCTAATTTGGACAAGTCTAACAAAATATACACTAATCAACCCACATAAATACTAACCTGTTGCAATCTGCTTGGACAGGGTTGGCATCTGACTCTAGTAAGAAGTTAGAGAGGGTTTACTTAACATTTTATTGCCATCACATTATTGTTAATATTTATTATTGTACTATTTAGTAGTTGTGTTATTTATTATTGTTCGCTATCTTTGGATCCAAGATTGAAATTTCAACCGAAATCTAAATTTCGGTGGATATACATTCTGTGTTTATTTTTTGGAATTGATTGAGGTGTGACTTTTGCTTTACCTCTCGTTAGTGTTTTGGAAGTTAGGTTAAAGGTTAGGAGATTTCTTAATGGGAACTGGAAACAGGTTGGTCAGCAGGACCTTGCATTAGGGTTGAAATTTGATGCCAAGGGTGTCTTGGAGTGTTATGAGCAAGATGTTGAGTATCTTCCATCTGGTCGAAGGAGAGAGATTGATTTCAAGATGGTGGAAGGTGATTTTCAGACATTTGAAGGCAGATGGTCCATTGAGCAGGTGAAGATGAAGATATATCTCTCCTTCTTTAATTTTCGTGTACTTTCTTCCATGTTGGAGTTGAAGTTCGCTTTCTTTATGATTCATGAATTACAATAAGTTAGTCAACTGAAGATATCTAGTATTTATTTTGCTTTTGTCATATTTGACCCACAAATAATTGTTAGTTCGAGATGAGATCCTCAAATGTTCATAATTCTAAATTAGACCCCCCAAGTCTTCATATTTGTTCGAAATGAGGGACTTATTTAAAAGACAACTTAAGATTTGTGGGTCTAATGTAAAAACATGAAGATTTGAGGTCTAATATAGAACTAGCTAAGGCTACATTTGGTAACCAGGGCATTTTTGGTGCTTTTGTTTTGTTTTTGCTAAAAAAAGAAACGTAACACGTTTGGGAACCGGTCCATTTTTCTATACTAAAACACAACCAACCCCAAAAATTCAACAGCTTTCTGAAAAAACGAAAAGTTGTTTTGAATCTAGGGTTTTAGTTTTTTCTCAAAATATTGAGCCCCCAACTTCAGAAGCTTTGCTCCTTACCATCTCAATAGATCGCCGTCACCTTGCTACCATGAAGTCACCGACCGTCGTCACTGTCTCCTCCAAGTAGATTGCGACTGCCATTGCTACCACGGAGTTGCCGACCGCCGTTACCATCTCTTCCCAGTAGATTGCCGCCGCCATCACTATCACAAAGTCGCCGACCACCGTCGTCCTTATTTTCTGTCAAATCTTTTTCAAAAGGTATATTCTTTCTCTCGTCATCACCTAATCTCCTCTCACTTAGTTCTCTTCTCCTATAATTCTGATATATCTTTGATTCCTCCACCATTTGATCAATTTTATTGTAAGCTGTAATTGGTATTTGTTTGGGATGGATTTTGATTTTGCCCTAATAAGTGTCAATTTGGTTGTACCTAATTTTCGTAGTTTGTTCTAATTTCTATAGTTTGTTCTAAGTTGACAAATTTTGTCGGCTAATGATGGCGGTGGTGATGGTGGCGGTGGGAAGGATATCGATGTTGATAAGGATAGGAATTAGTGCTTGATGATACTTGAAAAACACTTTTAAAAAACACAATGGTGTTTTCAAGATACTTCAAGAGAAAAAACACAACACCGAGGTGTTTTTCTAGAAAAACACAAGAAGAAAAAATAACATGGCTAAACCTGTAGTAATTTTAGGGAACATATTGATAGCATGTTGCTACTTCCTCTTTCAAGGTGACAAAAGAATGAGAAAACCAGTCAAAATATATCACGCTTTTTGTCATTACAGAAGAGTGTATATTCCATTGAACTCAAATAATCCAACTTTATTGACTACTGGGGAATTCAATTTCATTACACCTAAACATTTTTGGTTATATCTACTATCTAAGGCTTTGTTTGGCTACCATGGTGTTATTCTAGAAAAACACCTTGGTTTTGTGTTTTTTCTCCTAAAGTGTTTTGAAAACGTCATCATATCTTAAAAAAGTATTTTTTTAAATATCATCAGGCACTAGTTCCAATTATTATCAACACCAATATCCTTCCCGCCGCTACCTTCACCACCGCCACCATTATCCAACAAAATTTGTCAAACTTAAAACAAACTATAGAAATTGGAACAAACTACATAAATTAGGCACAACCAAATTGACACATATTAGAGCAAAATCAAAATCCATCCCAAACAAATACCAATTAGAGCCAAATTTACAGCAATAAAATTGGTCAAATGGTGGAGGAATCAAAGATATATCAGAATAATAGGAGAAGAGGAGTAAGTGAGAGGAGATTAGGTGATGACGAGAGAAAGAATATACCTTTTGAAAAAGATTTGACAGAAAATGAGGACGACGGCAGTCGACGACTTTGTGGTAACGATGGCAGCAGCGATCTATTGGCAGGAGATGGCGGTGGTGGTGATGGTGTCCGCGATCTACTTGGAGGAGACGGTGACGACGGTTGGTGACTTGACGGTGGCGAGGCCACGGTGATCTACTTGGAGGAGATGGTAAGGAGAAAAGCTTATGAAATTGGGGGCTCAATGTTTTGGGAGAAAACTAAAACCCTAGACTCAAAAAACTTTTTGTTGTTTTGAGATAACCGTTGAATTTTGAGGTTGGTTGTGTTTTAGTATAGAGAAATGGGCCGGTTCCCCAACATGCTCCGTTTTTTTTAGCAAAAACAAAATAGAAATGCCAAAAATGCTTTGGTTACCAGACGTAGCGTAAACAAAGATTTGTTGCACGATGACTCTTTCAGATCTTCCATTTCTCAAACACATTGTGGTTCAGACATAGTTTAATACTAAGCATCTTTGTGAAGCAAAAGATGGTTCAAATACTATGCAGCCCGACAGGTACATGGCAGTTGGGCCCAAGATTGTTCAAAAACCATATATTTCCCTATTATTCCTTTCGTTTAGGAAGTAGTGAAAATAGAAGGGGGTAATGGGAAAAAGCAGGCATCACTAGAACAATATGACAATGTGTTTATTATCACTCTAGTACATGTGAGATGGACACATTGTTATTATATTTCATTATATGGTATTAAAAATTATATGGTGGTTTTTGTATTCGAATAAAAATGATGTGGCGTTCTCCTTTCAAAATAAAAAAATGACGCTGGCTTCTCCTTCCAATTAGTTCGAGTATAAAGAATAACAATCTTGATTCTCTTTGGAGTTGGGAAGATGCTTATTGTAGGTATAGTTTGATGCTGATTATCGACTGTAGTTTGTTGCAAGAAATGCTCAACACATTGGGTTTTCCAAGGTTGGACAAGCAGAATATGAAACATTTTGAGAATATGAATACAGCTGGCCATAAAAAAACTATATTAAAAAAAGTAGGAAATTTGTAAGAAAAAAAAGAGAGTATATAATTTTAAAGTAATAGCTGATACCAAATGCTCTTTCTAGTAGGATGCTATGTGTAGATGTTACTACCATCCATTTCTTAAAATTGTTTCTAAATCAATTGGGACTATTCTTCAAAATATTTCCTACTTTCCTTGATTGATCATAGAATTCAAGCTAACTAAATGTGTTTTGTTATTGGATCCTTGTTGAAGTGAAAGTTGGTTGTTTCATACAGATTGATAGTAGTATGTGCAAAGAGGGAGCGAGGCAAGAATTCCAGACTACAATCTCATATGTTGTGGAATTAGAGCCGAAGCTTTGGTTGCCGGTTCGCCTTCTAGAGGGAAGACTTTGCAAGGAAGTGAAAAATAACCTTGTTTGTGTCCGCGAAGAAGCTCAAAGAGTTCAAAGATTAGGTCCTGATGAACTTACTACTACACGGTAACACTACCCACCTTTTGCATTATGCTTATGATATGGATTGAAAATGCTATTAAGATTTAACAAAGAAATTATTTCTTTTGCTGGACAATGTTAGTTTTTTGGGGGGTTGTTGAAAGATGTTCTTCTGAACTGAGAAATTTTAAAGTTTTTGGTGCCTTTTCGCTTCAGAAGTGACTGGTTGATGGAGAAATTTACTCCCATATGGCCTTTTATTTTTGAAAAGACCAGAGGGTTCTTTATGTTCTCTTTTTACTATCATTTGAATTTTTTTGCATTCTGATACATAGTTGTTATTATTATTTTTCCCTCACAAGCAAGTATGAGCGTCTGATGCTTTATGTAACTGCAGGGAAGCGAGAGAAAATGACTCTGACTTCGTTGGTTGATGATAAAATTGATCCAGGACTTTGGAGCAGTTCAAAGCATATTCATGATCTATAGGTATATTCCTTCTTTTGCTATAATCAATACAATCCATTTGGTCAAGATCGGTTAATGTTTTGATGCTGGCAGCAGGAACTTTCTTCGTCAAAGGACACAATCTTATCGTTCATTTGAAACAACTAAAGATTTGTGTCGCTGCTTGCCATCGTATCACTCGTGTGCACAGGAGCTTCTTTTTGTTTCAACTTTCAGTTTGTTTAGTTGGAAACTGGCAAGTTTGGTACAAAAAGAGCAAAAAACAAAAGCTTATGATTCTTTGACTTTCTTTCTGAGTGAGGCTAAAGTCTCCTGTTATATTTAACTGTATGTAATATGAACTGATTGATTATTCTTTTAAAAATGTTTAAATATATTCTGTAGATTTATACAGCACTGCGGCCTAATGTCCATGTCTCTATTTTATCATGAAGCTCATCTCCATAGAGTAGTACGGACTTCTTGTGCTTTGTTAGGATGCAACACCATTTCAAGAACATACAACTGGGATGAGCTTTTAACGGGGTTTATTTAGAAATTTCATGTAAATGCATTTTTTTCATCAATCCCAGGAAACGTTTGAACAGAATTAGCTATAGCAAATCAAAATGAAATAGAGATCATCGTCGGGCATTTTCTTCTGCAGATGTCACTGTGTTCTGCAACCATCTACAAACTGCATATGCTTCAACATGAAATTTGCATAACAAGCAATCTTCTTGGTCTCACTTCATCCCGTGGAACGTATAAGATTCTTGTCTTAAAATATGTTGCAAAACCTCTATAATCTGAATATACAGATGAGCCATGCTGACACAAGAATATGTTGCATATGTGAAACAGACAAGCCGTGTTGACGCAATAAAACCCATCAAATGGAAGCAATAAGCAAAGTACATGTTACAAATACCATTAGAACAACAGACCATATATACAATAACATGCTCTAAACACCATCAAGTTGAAAGACCTTAAATGACATCACTATTCAAGAAGATGAAGACAACAACTTTGATGACTGACGACAACGACAACAACATCAAAGCCTCTATCCCTAATTTTTAGAGATGAGTACATGAATCCTTTCTTCAAAGAGGAATGAGATACAAAAGATGGGAGAGGATCATTACTCAACCAAAGCACATCCTATTACACCGCTGGATTGCACAGGCATTGGTCTAACATCACACCATTCAAGGGGCATTTTTGTCGGATCAAAAGACCTCACTGTACTTAGTTCCACAACATCGTATGAGCGAGCATCTGAATCATATCTCAGAGCCATGCCTCCCACAACATACAACTTCTGTTTAAAACCAATAAGGCTAAATCCAAATGGCTTCAAAGGGCGGACGTGACCTTGAAGAATAATTGCAGGAAATGTGCCTAATGGCCTCATATATTTATTTGTCACTTTTACAATGTCATCATCAAGTATGGCATAGATACCACCATCTGTGACCGTCGTATACTCACGGGACAACTTGGAAAACGGCCACAAGTCTTCAACAATGTGCCATGTTTGGTTTATAGGATTGAAGATGACATATGTATCATATTCGAAATTGCTTGCTTTCTTCCCAATGACATGAAATTGGCCTCCATAGGAGACACTGAAACATTCAAAAAGCACAAAGGGCATCGGAGGCAAATCTTCCCATCTGCATATGTCAAGATCAACAGAAATAAGAATGGTATAGAATGGTAGGAAAATTATATCGCGTAGGCATTCGCGTGCACTTGCACGGATTTAGAGAGATCCTGAATTCACCACAAGCACACACAGACTTATTTCCAATGGAACTGTTAGATGATTTTTTTTATAACATGCTAATGTTGTTGTCTGGTGAGTATTATTAGCATTCCATGATACTCTTTCTCCCGTTTCTAATATTTCTATCAAGATTTTGAAATTATTTTCATAATTTTCTCATTCTCTATAATACATGTTATCAACTATTTGACAATGTTTTCACTTTCATATATGGTTATATCATTTTCAATCCTGATGGAAAAATATATATGATTGGAAAGTTAACTGAAAATTTTGTCTTTTGGCAGAGAATAAGATGGGCAGAGTTAATGAAAAGTAAAACATGAATGAACATTGAGAGCCTGAAAAAAGTTAAAAAATAAAAATGTCAAAACTATAATATGCAGGAGATTTTTATTGCTGAAAAGTCACATATACAACAATCAGGAACACGAGATGCGTTTCCATCTGTTTCTGATTCTTACAAATGCAGAAAGCATCCTTATCAAAAGCTAACAGCTCTATATATTATTTTACCAAATGCAGTTCTTTCTTGTATCGATATAAGCCTAATACTGACATATATGGGTCATAAATGTGATGCTTTTATAGTTGCTTAGTCTATTCCTACCTTTCCCAATCTATGACCACTCATTCCAGTGGACAACTCAATCTGTTAAATCTTATTTATAATGTCACAAAATGTATTATCCATTTTGAAATTTTCTATGCCATCCATCTGATGGCCATTCAATCATTTTGCAAACATTGGTATGAATAGATTGAAGTCTTTAAACTATATAACTTTTTTGTCCCTATATATTTTTTTCATGTGTGAATTAAAATCAATGATATGGACTGATCATTATGGCGGCCCATCATATAATTTGGTAAGTGGGAACAAACGTCTAATTTGTTACTGGGGAACTTTAAAACCATATCAGAGATTACAGGGGAAATTTTTCTCATATGCGCTCTTAAAGCATTATGTTTCTGTCTTAACTAGAAGCTTTTCATTGTTCAAACCGATCTCCACACTTAATATATATAAAATGAAACCCACGAGCATTTTACTCTTGTTACTCATATATCAGATGACTGCAAAATTGATGATTTTTCAGCAACAAATCAAAAGTCCACCAGATACATGGGTAGAAAGAAATCCAAAATTATTGATTATTAACACCCCAATATAGGCTGTGAAGATCATAATGACTGATCAGGTCAAGAAAAAATAACGGAGATATTAGAGTTTAGATAGATGCATGTCCACTGGAGGGAATTTCCCCTTATGCTTAGTGGTTACTGACCTCTCGTTTCCTTAATCACACACAAATACATACAGACATACATAAAAGCCAATGGACGGCCAAATGCACCATGACAAAGTTAAAGGAAAATCTTTCTTCTATTCTATGAGCTGCAGATGACATTTTGCTGGATTGACAACCAAACAAAAAGACGTATAGGATTCTGATCCAGAGGAAGCAACAGGGGACATAGAGGCAACAGTAATGCTAGTGGCACCACAATTTGCAACTAGTTGGCCTTTCTGAAGTCATAATCACTGACCGAACCACATATGAACTCCTCCAAGTGAAGTATATCCCTGACGACATGATTCTACTTTGTTCAACCACGAATAGAAAGGCCAAATGTCAGAGAGAAAAGCGAAAAGCAGCATATGCACTTGCTCGAGCTAATTCCTCAACCAGATTTATTTCAAGGAATTTGAACCCTTTAGCAGCTCGATTATAATCCCATTGTCAAAGCTATCACACAACGGTTACTGTCCCTAACCAAGTGGCCAGTGGTATATGCAAACCAATCATGTAAACTTTTCTAGAGAATACATTCTTTTACTTATAGAGTACTTCAAGTTAATTGCTTTCTATATAAGAATGTTTAACTTTTGCCCCTGAACAAATTTTAACTAATTGTGTAACAGAGCATATACGGAATGGCTATTGGTACTATCACATTTGTCTTTGTTTTCTCCTTGTGATATAAACACGGATACATTTATAACGCAGACGTTGAACTCACTGTCCATCTTTGATTTAAAAAATAAGACTCGGTTGAGGTACATATACTACTAAGATTTAATTTTGACTTGAAGCTTTGAAGGGAAATTTGAGTCCAATCTTCTACCTTAATCTATATTTTGATTTAAAAGTTTATTTTATAACATTATGTAATACTAGCTATACTTAATGGATGTGCCATCTTACATGCTCTTATATATATCCGGATATGTACTGTAATGTTTGGATACCTATCAGGATATGTCAGGTAGTTTCTGCAAAAGTGGATACAAATATCTGTATTTGTCAAAAGCAGATACATAATAGCTTGACTGGATTACCTACATTCATTTGCATCCTCATAGTCAAACCTTCGCAAAGATAATGAATTTCTGTTTTCTATATACTATTACCAAATAGCAATGCTCATAATATAATTTAAAAAGGTTTGTCAAGTTGAAGTTAAAAGAGAATTAGAAGGATTAATTTTAATACTGCTATCGTGCTACCCCATACCAAACCAAGGCAAAATATAAGGTAGACCTGTACTACACCAACAGTGTCTTCTAATATCAACATGGGCGCAAGTATTTTTCCAGTGTAGAAGAAATATGCATGCATAACCTTGTCCCAGTTTCTGTTTTTTTAGATACTGGCAGTGTTCACGACCATGTATCCATAACTATACATCACAACTTAAAAGAGCAAAAATACGTATCAAAGAGAAAATGGTGTAATAAATACCTGTCCAGATACGGGTCATAAACTTCTGCAGCAGAAAGACCTTCAGTGGAATCTGAGTTGTTCCCTCCAGCTACATAAACCTTGTCATTGATGGCAGCACTAGCAAAATTGGTCCGTGCTGTTCTCATACTGCTAACACAACTCCATTGCTGCTTAAAAGGATCAAACATGATCACATTATTTGTTCCAAGATTCCCTTTCATATAGCACCCACCAACCACTAGGAACCTTTTGCACACACAAATACACGAACATCCGCGCAGACTTTCATAATTTGCCCATGGAAATCCAGGAACAGGATGCCATCTATTTGCATCTGGATCATAGGCATTCCACTGAGACTTATGCCCCATATGTGTACAAGCAAACAACCAATTCCCACACCATCCCTCTTTTGCCTTCAAATTCGCATAATCCGAACTCTTGATCGTCCATCTCCACTTCTTGGAAACACATTCCAGCAATCCATGATATCCATGCGAGATCTTTGCCAAGCATCTAAATGCCAAATCATCGGGCAATCCCGGAATAATAGCTTCACTCATCCTGTAGAATTTTCTGTGTCGGTATAAGAAAGAAACTTCACTGAGAAAATTATAAAAAAGCTTCGTTTATGGGTAAAAATATAGTCATCGGAGAGGTACATGAGCCAAGCAATAAACTAGAGTATTGCCGTTTTATAATTGACTTGGAATTCCCTGAAGGCCCTTAAATAATTGATAGCATGACAAACTGAGTACAAGTAAACAAAAAAATTATCAGGAAGATTGGAAATTTCTGACGGGGCAAACAGATACCAAGCATATTATAATCTGCAGTATCATTTTATGTAATGATTATATTAAAATCTTGGATTTAACAAGCTCATTGACAGGATAAGCAATAGCTGAAATAAGCAATAGCGAGGGTTGAACAATAACCAAGAAAGGACACGAATGAAATCACAAAAGAGGATCTCTTTAATATCAAAGAGGACCATTTATTTAGTTCGAGTCTTCTTGATTCCAAATTTAAATCTCATGTTATGAATTAAGAAACTTGAACGTGGTTCCATGAACTCGGCTAGAGATTCGATGAGAAAAAGAACGGTTCTTTTGGGGGAAGTGAAGACAATTGATATGATAAATAAAAGATTTTTGAAGGGAAATGTGAAAAAAGAAACAAAAATTTGGGGAAGATTCGTACCCGTCGTCCGTGAGCTCCAAATTTCGCAGGAAGGAAATCGATGAACGAATCTGGGCTTGATAAAGGCAGAGTAGTTACGGTGACTCGCAGATTGAGCTTGTGCTAAAATGTTCCTACAGTAAAGGGTAAGATATCAAGCCCGACCACTAAAAAGCCCACTACCTCATACTTAATTAATTATTAATTATGCTTATCTTTTTCTATTAATTACTTGGTGATATGAGAATCGGTGTTTTAGCATGTTTATTAAAGAACACGCTATTGTTAAAAGTCAATTATAATTAATTATGATATTTTTTTATTAACAGTTTCATAATATTAAAATCTTATTTCAATACTCTGTCATGCATTTTTCTATCGATGCGATAAGTGTTTTAGTATAATTATCAGAATAATTTATTATGTTTATTTAAAGTCAGAGATTAATAAAATAGACAAAATTAAACAAAAATATGTTACTAGCAATGGCCAATGGCAGTGTATGAAATTTTTTTAATTTAAAATCTAAATAGAAAAATTTCAATGACATTCAGGATATTGGATAAATGATAATGATGATTCACTATCAATTTGCAACTATCTTAACCTACACCAGCACGAAAGTGATCTGATCATCTCACAAATAAATCAATTTTCAGAAAATATGTCAAAATAAATAAACATAGCATCTTAAGAAAGCTACAGCTGCACCAAACAGAATCTTAAACTAATTTTTTAAACACAGAAGAAAGAACCCGAACCAAGCCGAACCGGTTTAAACTTTCGGATCCAAATACGGATCACACACCGCCGTTCATCAACCCGTACCCGATTCAAACCCCTCCTAGAGCTCATAACAAAACCCTAGAATCCCAAGCTCAATCCAAAACCCTAGATCCTGCGATTCTCCTCGTTCAAAGCTGCAATCGAAATGGGGAAGAAGAAGCCGTTCATCAACAAGAAGAACTCCGCCACCTTCCACCTCCGTCGCCGCGACACCTCCGCTTCCGACGTCGCCGCCGGAGCTCCGGAGAGCGACCGCGTCTTCGTCCGCGTCGACAACAACCCTTACTCCGTTCGCGGGCTTGAAGACGACGACGAGGTCGATGGAGGGGAACTGAACGAAGAATTCGGCCAAGATTCTATCTTTGCCGATGCGCCCGAGGATGCCGACGATGTGAGAGACTGGATCTCCGGTGGCGGCGGCGGTGGTGGTCATGGAGAGTCACGTGGAGCGATGCCGGATCACTTGAGGAGGGAGATTATTGAGCTGGGGTTTCCGGATGATGGATACAATTACTTGCTTCATCTTAGAGAGATCAAGAATGCAGGTGGGGGATCGACTTACTATCATAACAGCAAAGCGAAGCTTGATCAACTGCCGCTTGATGTCAAGGTATAAATTATGATTCTAAATCGGTGATATTCACTGCAATTTTGGAAAATTTGATTGGAACTTTGAGGTTTTAATAAGGTGAGATGTGAATGCTAATATATTTCAGTTATTAGTAGTGGAGCCATCAAAATTGCAAATTTTTATATACTTTTGATAAAAAATTGAATAATTTTGTTGTTGGTAATGTTTTTAATAATGGCAGAATTTTAGATATTTAGATTGGTTGATGGTTAATAACTTGGCGTATCTATTATCAGAGCTGGTGATGAAAATATTTGCTGAGTTGAGAAGAATTTAAGTTAAATTTATCCGATTTAACATATTTGGGCAGATGCATTCAGTTTTAATATATAACTGTAGCTCAGGTTAGCTGAATTTACTATTATTGGATGGTAAATGCTGATATTTTTTAGTCAAACAGACGATAAGTATTGGTTAAAAAAGGAAATACTATTCACTTTAATTGGGTATTGTTTTGAGTAAGGTTTATATTTCTGCTATTATTTCAGGTGAAACTACTGAAAAATTAGGTCACTCTTATAATGGAGACGTTCTAAAAGCCTTTATTTCTAGGTTTAGGTAACATCTTAGTCATATGTTTTAGGAAATAATAGTAGTTATTGTTGATAATGATCAATTTGTCTGTGCTAATTGTCTACACACATATAACTAGTTGTTTCAAGATAGTTAGAAATTAAATCTGATAAATAGGCCAGAAGGCTTGCAGTTATACTTATACCCATAGTTTTCAAGTTTTATGCGGAAAAGACATTTCGGTTGGTCTATTTGTTTACTTCAATTTTTCCATCTTTATTGTTAGGCTTATGATGCTTCAAGAGTCCAGATTAGTGGAAATACTACCAGTGAGTTAAACAATGACTCACATTCCTTCCATAATGTCACTTCAAAGACGGTTGGCGTGAAGGTACAGAGAGTGATTGATCCTGATGTAGCAAGGTTGCTGGATGATAGTGATTTATCGAGGTTTGGATCAGATGTAGAGGACTTGGATGAAGATTTCGTTGTCAAGGCCAATCTCGCTGATGGCGAGGAAGATGAAAAGGTGGTAGTGGAAGGAAAAGGAGCGGCTAGTTTTGAAAGGGACGCTCTTGAAGGAGAAGATAATAAATTTGCTAATGCTGATGGGGATGATGAACTAGAAGTCAGTGCCAAGCCTAGAATTCGTAGGCTTCTTGATGAGCAATTTGATTTGGTGAGTTGCCAGTTTTCCAATGTCACATATCATTTTCTATTCTGCATTTCTAGTGTAGTAGTATTTCTTGCAATTAACGAAACCTTCTTGCATATATGCATATTTGCACCATCAGGGTCGCTGTATATTCATTTAGTAAGCCTTGATATGACTATTTGGATTTGTATGTTGTTATTCACCTCTCACATTTTACACAAGATTCTCTCCTTTTTATTAGCATGATTCTAGAGTGGTTCTGTTACGTCTTTTACCTCATATAATGGTCAGAAATGCTATTATTGATCAATTGCCTTGTTTTTGTTTATTTCTCTCTTAGCCAATTTGCAGCAGATTATACCAGATATATATTTTTCAAAACTTTATGAATCATTCAATTGCTTGTTTGTTGTTGTTATATCATTTTTGTGTCCTTTCATATTATTTATTCCTGCACTAGTATTTATAGATATATGGATATTTTTCCTTTTGTAATGTTTGTTTATGTACTCTGTACTTTCTTAACTTCAGCAGTATTTTTTAAAATTTCAATTTTGATATACCTTTCTGTGGTATTCCTGGATGTATATTTTTGTAGTGGAGTTGGTAATGTCATTACCATGACAAAGAATATAGTATGATTAGCTGTAATTTCGAAATTTGCTTTAAATGATTACTAGTATTTCATTTTAAAATAAATTTAACAATTTTGAGTAATAGCTTTGTTGGCATTCTACTTGTTTGCTAAATCTCTTTTGCTAAATCTCTTTCAGTTAGAATAGTGTCCAATAAATAAATTTTGTTAAAGTTATAGAGGAACTGTGAGCAATGGAACGTGGTATGATTCTAGATCCAACAGAAAGCTATCAGCAGACTAGATCTATTAATGTCTAATGGTGAAAAATCAAAGTTAAATGGTAAGTGCTTGCTGTAGAGGTTATATTTAATTGTGACATTGCTTGAGTTAGAATAGCTTGTGTTTTTAACTTGTTTTGTGAGTGGGAAAAAATGATGAAAAAATAAAGAGGATGCATGCAAACATTATAGCAAGGATGCATTCAGACATACTGGGGAAATTGGACCCCTTTATTTTTCTGTATTCAACCTTCTTATTTGTCTACTAGATTTCTTTTCCTAACCTATTCACACCATTTATTTTGTGATTTAGTACCCAATCATGACCTATTATACAGCCCGCTATATGTGGATGACATATTTCCATTCACATCATTGTCTTTCAGGGGCAAAGGAGTCCATCTTTGTCTTAAAAGACTATTTCTTTATTTATATGAATTTTCTTCCTAATTTTCTGGCTAATACCCAGTTTTGAACTCCACTGTACAGTTAACTTTTTTTTTTTTTTTTGGGGGGGGGGGGGGGGAGGGGGTATCCACACACGAAATTCTAATCACTTACATGATAGGATCTTATCAAACAATCTCACAGACGAGTAAGCGAATTAACTGGCAATATGGTCTCCTATGTTGCACGGGTAGAGATGCGAGTGCATACATGAACACGGGTGTGGATATGACCCAAAAAGTTTGAAAAGTGTAGGATACGGGGACACGGCTATATATATACATATTGAACATAATAATTTATATTAGATTGATATTGTTTTTTTATTACATGTCATGAGAACTAAAATCTCCATATCATTTTTATCTCTTTTATTGAGTAGATTATAAATTGAAAAAGTGCTCATTTTTGAACTAGATATCCAAATGACTGTTTAAAATCCTACTTATGAACATGGTATGGGCTGAAACGAACATTCGAGTCGAACAAGTTGCAGAAATTTGAGATGAACTGTAAGATGTACGTCCAAGAAGTGTATCATGAGTGTTTTAAACTAAAACATGTATTATATAATTGGACACCTGTTTGCATAAATGTATGTATATACTCAAGAAGCGTCCAAGGAGTGTTCGACATAGACACGGACACAGGAAGTGTTGAGTGTCCAGATAACTTAGCTGGTGTCTCTTACCTCTTTCATATATCAATATAGACGCTATCCTCTAGCTACCTCATCTATCTATAGCACCAAGGAAAAGAGGAAGTGAACAGGCCTCTGTAATTGTGACAAGTTTCACATCTCTATATCTCTATTGAAAACCTATGAATATTTCTTTTCTTAATTTTTAATATTAAATCACTCTTAACATTATTATATCATTTAGTTAATTTGTCACTCCTAAGTTGTTTCCTAGCTCTTACATTCATCTTTCTTTGTTGGTACAGCTTACCCTTCGGGAATATGATGATGACAGTGACGACAATGATGCTTGTTATATGGGTAATGACGATGGACCTCTTGCTGCCAAGATTAGTGATGCTCTCAAGCCATATGGAATGAACAATTTGCAACTGGAGCACAAATATAGAGTTCCAGCAGATTTGGAGCATGACAATGAGGGATCTGATGTTGGTGTAGAAGTAGTATCCAGTGATGTAATTCAAAAGTGTGTCGAATATGCTGAAAAATATTGTAATGAGAGCCAAGATGATAAAGATGTGGTCTTAGTTGAAGAAAGTAGTGAAGAATCCGAAGTGTGGGATTGCGAGACAATTGTTTCAACTTATTCCAATCTTGACAATCATCCAGGGAAAATACAAGCTCCAGGAAATCCCAAAAGAAGAGTTCCTAAACACTTCCCTGGTGATTCAGCTTTATCTGGTAACGTAATCACACTTGGAGGAAAGGCAAAACTCCCGATTGAGTTTTTACCTCAGAGCAGAAGGCCTGTTGAAAAAGCAAAAGCAGCCGTGAAAAGCTCAGGTACTGACGGGCAAAAGAGGAGACCTGGTGAGGAGTCAAAGGAGGAAAAGAAAGTGCGCAAGGTATTATTAGAAAATCATTTTACATCAGTTTTTAGTAAAATGTGTGAGTAACTTTGCATGTGTGTTTATCAATTTTATATATAAAAAACTGGTTAATCAAATCTCAGGATTTTCTCCACTCAGGGAACACATCTAGCTTCCTATCTTAATGATAATCATGGGTCAATACAGTCGAGGCTACTCTACAATCCTTCATAGTTTTAACACTGATTAAAATTTAGGAACATTGCTTTTGTTTTCTTAAAGGTGTTAATTATTTGTCAAATTCTGCATGTGTGCTAATTTGTGCTTGTGGTCCAAAACTTGATATATCAAATAAGTTATTCATTGCATGTGGGTTTCTAAGTGATAAGAAAAATAAAAATGGAAGAAGAAATCAATTTGTCAAATTTCAGGTTTTTCACATTCAGGGAAATTTTTCTTTCTATCTTAGTAATAATTACGAGTCGATAAACTGGAGGCTACTTTATGGTCCTTCGTAGTTTAACACCGACTAAAAGTTACACAACATTGCTTCTGTTTTCTTAAAAGTACAACTTATTGGTAATAGTTCTGTGGTAATAATTCTGTCGTATGTGCTAATTCTTGTGGCCCAAGACTTGATGCATGTTCATGGCCTGGTCCATAACTACACCTGATGAAGCATTAGCAGAGACTCTGTTTTGATGTCACAAGTAAATTCTTTTATAAAATTGAAAGAGAGCTAATGTTTTAATGGTCAGTGACATCTACTATAAATCTATTAGATGGAAAGTGAGAACACAAAAATGATTGACCAAACACGGCAAAAATTGTGGGTTATTGCCCTTGGAGAAATCATGAATGTGGGAGCTTACATTAATATTTCTATGCAGGAATACAAGTAGTGATTTGGCTGAAAACGGCTAGAACTGTATATAGTCCATGAGAAATCGTTAATTTGGGAGATTGGGTAAATATTTCTAGGTCAGAACACAAAAAGTGATTTGCCAAAAGAACCAAAATTGTGTGCTATAGTCCATAAGAAATCATGAATTTGATAGTCCATGAGAAATCATTAATCTACAAGCTCACATTTCTATGTAGGAACACAAGAAGCGATTTGGCCAAAAACAACAATTTTGGGTTATAGTTCACAAGAAATTGTGAATTTGGGAGCTCGTTTAAATATTACCATATGAGAACATAGGTACTTTGGCCGAAAATGGTCAAAATTGTGGATTATGTCTGTGAGAAATTGTGAATTTGGGAGCTTGTTTAAATAATTCCATGTGAGAATACAAGAAGTGATTTGACCGAAAGCGACTAAAATTGAGTAATGGTCCAAGAAAAATCGTTAATTTTATAATTAGCATAAATATTTTAATGCGGAAACACAAGTGATTGACCGAAAATGTCCAAAATTGTGAGTTATAGTCTACCAAAATTGTTAATTTGGAAGATCGGATAAATATTTCTATGCAGGAACACAAGAAGTCATTTGGCCAAAATGGCTAAAATTGAGGGTTATAGTCCATGAGAAATCATTAATTTAGGAGATTGGATAAGCATTTCTTTGGAAGAACACAACGTGATTGGGTCAAAAGCAACCAAAATTATGGGTTATAGTCACGATAAATCGTGAATTTAGGACATTGCTTAAATACTTCTATGCAAGAACACACGGCGTGATTTGGCCTAAAACAACAAAAATTGTAGGGTATGTATACGAGAAAGCGTGAATTTCGAATCTTGCATAAATATTTTTATGCGGGAATGCAAAAAGTATTTTGGTACAAAAACGGCCAGACTTTTGGGTTATAGTCCATGATAATTTGTGAATTTGGATGCTCACATAAATATTTCCATGCCGAATATAGTTATTTGGTTGAAACATCCAATGTGGGTTATTTTTCCACGAACAAATTGTGAATTTTATAGTTCGCAAATAATATATAATATATATAATATATATATATATATATATATATATATATATATATATATATATATATTATATATGTGTGTGTGTGTGTGTGTTGTGTGTGTGTGCGCGCGCGCGCGCGCGCGCGCATGTGAGAACAAATAAGTGATTGGCCTAAAACGACTAAAATTTTGGGTTATAGTTGATTATAAATCATTACTTTGGGTGCTTTTATAAAGTGATTAGCCTAAAAACGACTAAAATTTGGCCAACTATAAATTTGGATGCTTTTATAAAATTTGGCCAACGACTAAAACGACTAAAATTTGGATGCTTTTATAAAGATTTCTATGTGAGAAGGCAAGAAGTGATTTGGCTAAAAACGATCGAAATTGTGGGTTATAATACATAGAAAATCATTAATTTGAGAGAGAAGAGAAATATTTCTATAAGGAAATGCAAGAAGTCATTTGGCCAAAATGGGTAAAATTGAGGGATATAGTCCACAAGAAATTGTTAATTTGGGAGATCTGATAAATATTTTTATGCGAGAACACAATGATTTGCTAAAAAACGGGAAATCGTGAATTTGGGATTTGCATAAATATTTCTATGCGTGAAGGCCATAAGTGATTTGGCTGAAAATAGCCAATATTGTGTTATAGTCAACAAGAAATCATGAATTTTAGAGCTCACATAAATATTTTCATGCGAAAAACAAGAAGTGATATGATAAAAAACATCCAAAATTGTGCGTTATAGTCCAAGACAAATTGTGGGTTTGATAGTTCACATGAATATTTATTATATTTTATGTGGAAAGACAAATAGTGATTTGGTGTAAAATGACCAAAATTGTGGGTCATAGACAGCAAGAAATCTTTAATTTGGGAGCTCACATAAAGATTTCTATGTGGGATACGATAAATGATTTTGTTGGAAACTTCCGAAATTGTAGATTATAGACCATGATAAATCGTTAATTTAGGAGATTGTATATATATTTCTATGCGAGAAAACATAAAAAATTGTGGGGTATAGGAAACGAGAAGTCATGAATTTTAGAGCTCGCATAAATATTTCCATGGGGAAAAACTAGAAGTGATTTGATTGAAAATATTTAAAATTTTAGGTTATTATCCACAACAAATCGTGAATTTGATAGTTTGCATAAATATTTTCTGTAAAGGCAAAAAGTGATTTGGCATAAAATTGACCAAATTTGTTGGTTATAGTCAATGAGGAATCTTTCACATAAACATTTCTATGCGGGTACACATTAAATGATTTCATCGAAAATGGCCAAAATCATAGGTTATAGTCCGTGAGAAATCGTTAATGGGAAATTGTATAAATATTTCTATGCGAGAACAATGTTTTAAAAAGCTCTCCTAGCCCACCTAGGCCTAGGCGATATCTAAGCTGCTTAGGCTCTGCTCGCTTAGTTCTTGAGAGTGCTTAAGGACGCGGAGACCATTTAGGTGGACTGCATCGCTAGGTTTTAGTTATGATTTCTTCTATTGTTGCATCCACGTTCGCTAACCTCCTCTAAACTCCTCCGGCCTCCATCGACTACGGACACCTCCAACTCTTTTTACCTTCAATGAAAGAAGCGATTTGGTCCAAAATGGCCAAATTTATGGGCTGTAGTCAACTAGAAATTGTGGGTTATTATCCATGAAAATTCATGAATTTGATATTTTGCATAAATATTTTTATGTAGCAAAGCAAAAAGTCATTGGGCGTAAAACGATCAAAATTATGGGTTAGTCAATGAGAAATCTTTAATTTTAGAGCTCACCTAAACATCTCTATGTGGGAATGCAAGAAATGACTTAGCCAAAAATGACCGAAAATGTTGGTAACATTCCTTGAGAAATCATTAGTTTGAGAGATCATATAAATATCTCTATGTGAGTAAAACAAATAGTGATGGGAAAACGGCTCAAATTGTAGGTTATGGCCCATGAGAAATAATGAATGTGGGACCTTGTATAAATATTTCTATTTGAGAATGTAAGAAGTGATTTGGCAAAAGAGGCTAAAATTGTGTGTTGTAGTCCACAGGAAATTGTGAATTTTCGAACTTGCAGTAAATATTTCCATGCAAAAATTAATAAATGATTCAGTCAAAACATCCAAAATTATGGATTATTTTGTCCAGGAGAAATTGTGAATTTAATAATTTGCATATTGTCTTTACGTGGGAACAAAAAAATTGATCTGGCCTAAAACAACCAAATTGGTGGGTTATAGCCTACTAGAAATCGTTAATTTGGATGCTCGCACAAACATTGATATGCGGGAATGTTAAAAATGATTTGATTGGAAAACGACCAAAGTTTTGTTGTAGTCTACAACTCTATTTTAAATCTTTTATTTTAGAGATTGGATAAATGTTTCTATGCAGGAACACAAGAAGTCATTTGGTCCAACACGACTAAAATTGCGTGTTATATTCCACAAGAAATCATTAATTTAGGATATCAGATAAATATTACTATACGAGAACACAAGAAGTGGCTTGCCCGAAAGCAGCCAAAATCATGAGTTATAGTTTATGGAAAATCGCGACTTCAGAACCTATATAAATATTTCATTGCGTGACTATAATTAGTGATTAGTGATTTAGTCGAAATGACCAAAATTGTGAGGGATTGTCAATGAGAAATCATGAATTTTAGAGCTCGCATAAATATTTTCATGCGGGAAACTAAGAATTGATTTGACCGAAAACATCCAAAATTGTAGGTTATAGTCCATGATAAATCATGAATCTAATGGTTCGCATAAATATTTTTATGTGGAAAGGCAAAAAGAGTAATTTGGTGTAAAGCGACAAAAATTCTCGCTGTCAACAGTAAATCTTTAATTTGGGAGAAATGATCAAGTGGAAAACGACTAAAATTGTAGGCTAAAGTCCACGAGAAATCATTAACTAGGGAGACGAATAAATATTTCTATGCATTAAAGCAAGAAGTAATTTGGCTGAGAGCAGTCGAAGTTGTGGGTTATGGTCCACTTGAAGTTGTGAATTTGGAACCTTGCTATGCGGGATTGTAAGAAGTTCTTAGCTAAAAGCAACCGGAATTGTGGGTTATATAGTCCACGAGAAATTGTGAGCAACCAAAATTGTGGGTTATAGTCCACGAGAAATTGTGAATATAGGTACTTGCATAAATACTTCAATGCGGAACACAAGATGTGATTAAGTTGAAACATCCAAAATTGTGGGTTATTTGTCTATGACAAATCGTTAATTTGATAGTACACACATATTTTTACGTGGAAACAAAAGAAATGATGGTCTAAAATGACCAAAATTTTGGGTTTAGTCAACTAGAAATCGTTAATTTGGATGTTTGCATAAACATTTCTCTGTGGTACCTCAAGAAGTGGTTTGATCGAAAACAACCAAAATCATGTGTTTATAATCCACAAAAAATTGTCAGTTTGGGAGGTTAGATAAATATTTCCATGCACGAGCACTAGAAGTGATTTGGCACAAAACAACCAAAATTGTGGGTTATAGTCCACGATAAACTGTGAATTTAGGAGCTCACATGAATATTTCTATGCGTAACACATTAAGTGATTTAGTCGAAACATCCAAAATTGTAGGCTATTTGTCCATGGCAAATCATGAATTTGATAGTTGACACACACATATGTTCAAACAGAAAAAGTGATTTAGCCTAAAATGATCAAAATTTGGGTTATAGTCAATTAGAAGTCATTAATTTTTGATGCTCGCATAAACATTGTAGTGCGTGAACTTAAGAAGTTAGTCGAAAACTACCAAAATTATGGATTATAGTCCACGATAAATAGTTAATTTGAGAGATCGAGTAGATATTTCTATGCGGGAACTCTAGAAGTCGACTAAAATTATAGGTTACAGTCTACGAGAATTCGTTAATTTGAGAGATTGGGTAAATATTAATATGCAGGAATACAAATAAGTCATTTGGCCAAAAACGACTTATATTGTGTGTTATAGTCTACAAGTAATTGTTAATTTGGAAAATCAGATCAATATTTCTATGCAAGACTGCAAGAAGTGATTAACCTGAAAACTACCAAAATTATTGGTTATAGTTCACAAGAAATTGTTAATTTGTAAGATGGGATAACTGTTTTTTGTCAGAACACGATAAGTGATTTGCTCGAAGATGGCCAAAATCATAATGAAAAATCTGTTAATTTGAGACATCGCACATATTTCTATGCTTGAATGCAATAAGTGATTTGGCCGAAAACGGCCAAAATTGTGGGTTGTAATCAACGAGAAATCGTAAATTTAGAAGCTTGGTTAATATTTTCTTGCGAGAAAACAAGATGTGATTTGATTAAAAATATTTAAAATTGTGGGTTATATCCATGACAGATTGTGAATTTGATACTTTGCATAAATACTTTTATGTGGAAAGGCAAAAAGTGATTTGGCGCAAATCAATCAAAATTGTGGATTATTTTAGCCAAAATTGTGAGTTTTAGTCCACATGAAATCGTTAATTTGGGAGATTGTATAAATATATCTACGCGAGAAAGCAAGAAAAGATTTGGTCAAAAACGATCAAAGCTGCGCATTATAGTCAACTACCAATCGTTAATTTGGGAGATCCGATAAATATTTCCATGCGGGAACTTAAGAAGTGGTTTATAAATTGTGGGTTATAGTTCACTAGAAAATGTGGATTTGGGAGCTCCTATATATGTTTCTGTGCTGTAATGCAAGTTATTTAACCTAAATAGTGAAAATTGTATGCCATGACAAATTGTGAATTTGATAGTTTGCATATATATTTTTATGTGGGGACAAAGGAACTAAGGAAGTGATTTGGTCTAAAACGACCAAATCAGTGGTTTATAGTCAACAAGAAATCTCTAATTTTGATGCTCGCATAAACATTTCCATGTGGGAACACAATAAGTAGTTTTCCTGATAACCAAAATCGTGGGTATAATCTTCATGAAATTGTGAATTCAAAACCTTGCATAAATGTCTATTTGTGAATGAAAGAAGTAATTTGGCCGTATACTTCCAAAATTGTGGGTTATAGTCAGCGAGAAATCGTGAATTTCAAAGCTCGCATAAATCTTTCCACGCGAGAAAACAAGAAGTAGTTTGATCGAAAACATTCAAACTTGTGGGTTATATAGTCCACGACAAATTGTGAATTTGATAGTTCACATAAATAGTTTTATTTGGAAAGGCAAAAGGTGATTTGGTGTAAAATGATCAAAATTGTGGGTTATAGTCAATGTGCAGTCTTTAATTTGGGAGCTTGCATAAACATTTCTATGCTAAAAAGCAAGAAGTGACTTGGCTGAAAAATAGCCAAAATTGTGGGCTATAGTCCACGAGAATTCGTGGATTTGGGAACTCGCATAAATATTTTTGTGCGGGAATGCAAGAAGTTAATTGGCAAGCGACCAAAATTATGGATTATAGTCCATGAATAATCATTAATTTGATAGATCAGATAAATAATTTTATGCCAGAACACAAGAAATGATTTAGTCGAAGATGGCCTAAATTGTGTGTTATAGTCAACGAGCAATCGTTAATTTGGTGGATTGGATAAATATTTCTATTCAGAAGTATAAGTATTGATTTGACCAAAAACGGCCTAAATTGTGATTATAGTTCACGAGAAATCGTGAATTTAGGAGCTCGCATAAATATTTTTGTGCAGAGAAGTGATTTGATTGAAAACGGCGAAAATTGTATGTTATAGTCCACGAGAAGTCGTTAATTTGGAAGATCAGATAAATATTTCTATGTGAGAATCTATGTTACCCGTGTACTTCTATTATGAAGCTGTACTCGTACCAGACACGTACCTGAACCCAACTTTCATGTGTACTATTTATATATATATGCATACATTTATTTAGACACGTACTCAATTATATGATGTATATTTTAATTTAAAACACTTCGCAAATACTTCTTGGATGTGTATCCTACATTTACATCCATTTCTTGAAACTGGTTAGACATGGGTTGGGTTCATTTCAGCCTATACTAAGTTTAAAATTATGATTTTAAAGGGTCATTTGGATGTATAGTTCAAAAAACGACTAGTTTCCAATTCATTTCAGCCTACACTAAGTTTAAAATTATGATTTTAAAGGGTCATTTGGATGTATAGTTCAAAGAACGACTTCTTTCCAATTTATAATAATCAACATAATAAAAGAAGCTTGAAAATGTGATATGAATTTTAATTATAATTACACAATAATTAAAAAACTAATTATCTTTTTGTAAATTATTAGTTTGAATATGTATATGTAGCAGTTTCCCCTACGCTACATTTTACAAATTTGTTGTCTCCCATACCGTTATCGGTACCCACACCGTACCCTTTTCTATGCAGCTTAGATGGTAACTGACAACATTAGCGTGTGTCGTTGAGCAAGGTTTTAAATGTCGGCCGACATGTCCAACATGTCGGTCGACATATTGGTTTGAGGGCTTGACCGACACGACATGGACGTTTTCAACTCGTATGTCGATTTTCAGGGCCAAATCGGAAATATCAGGGTCATATCAGGCATATCAGCCTATTTTTTAGCTTTGAAAAATCGGCCGATATGGTTTTTTTTTTAAGATTTTTTTTTGTTATCGGGTTTGGGTTTAGTGATAAATACCCAAACCCGTTTGACCCGTTCTCATGTTTAAGGGTTTCTTATGAACCCGATAGAAAGAATTTATGAACCCAAATTCATATATTATTTATTTTTTTATATGTTTAGTCTATAGAATTTATAAAGTATGTTTATATTGAATTTATGAATACTTAGATTACATTTAGGACATGATATTATACATATGCGCACTACCCGATATGGCAATCCGATATTTAGTCAATGTCCTCCGATATATCCCCGATTTTCGCTATCTGACATGGATTTCATCCATCCGACATGGACCCGACATCCGACATTTAAAACCTTGTCGTTGAGTGCATAACGAGGCTGATTCTCTATGTTTTCTATGTTAATATGGATGTCTGGATTGACTGTATTTAGGAGTCCCTCTTATTTGGAGACTGCTAATGTCTATTTACTGATTTCATGGTCAATATTTTGTTTGGAGGATTACAAGTTAACATCCTATGCATGAGTAGTTAGCTTCCTTTTTTTGCTGCAGCATTACATTGCATATGTATCAGTTAGTGCTTCTGTTTATTGGGATGTTTTGGGCAGGCCACTGTAAAAGAAGAAAGAAGAGAAGCACGGCGGACAAAGAAAGAATTGAAGTCATTGTACAAATGTGAAGCGCAAAAGGCTCAGAAAGTTGCTGCTATTGCAGGACCATCTTCTGTCCACCTTATGTAGGTTTCTAGGCACTTATTTATTAATCTATCTCTTATGCCAATTGCGTTCACATTCTATATAAAATTATCACACCCTCATTGCTTCATTCTGTTTTTAAGTCCTAAATAAAAATTAAGCATGGCTTTTTTCCTTTCATGTTTGTCTTGAACGCATTCTTGCCCAGCTATTAGTTAGCAACTGTGCAGGTGAATTGCAAAGCACTTTTTTTTTCTTTGATTAAGAAGTTGCCAGTTCCAAAGTACCATATGGATCTCTTGAAATAGTTAATCTTGTGTCCATAATTTTGAGTACTCCAAAGTGGCTACTAGGTTTACAATCTTAAATCCTGTGAACACTTTTTGTATCTTATTGGTCTAAGAAATACCTAGAATCAAGTTTAGCACATGAGGGAAAACTTGTAATACAAATTTCTCATAATTCTTCAAAGCATAGTTGCAAACAGCTCTGAAGTTTTAAAGAACATAGCTACCATAAAATGGAAGCATGCCTCAGATAAACTTTTAGTAGGTTAATCAGTATGAGGAGGAAGATAGACTTGGAAGACCATAACTTTTGTGCATTCTCTTTAAACTTGCTTCTGGAGAAGGCGTAAGATTACTTCGGCTTTCCCAATGTATTATAATTGTTCCACGAGCTTTGCATATTATATGCAGCATCACATATCAACAGCCATGTCACTATCAATTAAAAAGCATAAAACCTCAAAGACAGTAAAAGGTACCAATTTTATGTCATGAGACATGGTTGACGTTTTCTTACTCAAGCCATGAAATACTTTTGAAACATTTGTTCCTTGATCTCCATTTTTAAATTATTTACCTGTTAAGCATTAATGCTCAAGGCGAATATAGATACAACATGACATTGACAGTCATAGATACAACATGACATTGACAGTCTTTTAATCCATCCTCCCTCCCACCCTTACACTCATCCCTTGCGGGGTTGTCTAAACCTGTGAATTCTTCTGAATGCTTTATTTACATAGGTTAGCTTGTGGTTAGCTTCGAGATCTAATGTGCAAGAGTTTAGTGAAGCCTACAGTTTTTGGTTAATTGGATTGGCATATTGATAATATACGTTGGATTCTCTTGGTGTTTTTTACAGTTTGACCTACCACTTAGCATAAGACTAAGCATGTCATGCCTTTCTTCCCTCTCTTGTCGGGGTTACTCGTGCCCTTGAGACGTTGCATCTGTGAGGTTGGGTTACTTGTGCTTCCTTAAGCCTCTGTTTTGGCATCAGGTGAGGGAAAGAAAAGAAGCATAAGCATAAAGTCGGGCAAGTCATTTGGCAGTGGCTGGTTTGGATCAAATATTTAGGAAAAAATTATGGTTTTTAATTACTTTTGTGGGAAAAAAAAACGAACAGAGAAGTCCAAAGAAAACAATAGACAACACAAAACCCCAAGCGACCTCTCGTTCTCCACCGATTCCCTCAGCTACAATTATTTTTAGAAATCCCCTTTGTGGTCGCGCCCTCCTTTACCCGCCTCGACCCCCCGACAAAAAAAAAAAAATAATGTATTTCTTTAAGTTAAACGGCATCAGAGTTAACAGAATTGCTGAGTATGTGAACCCGAATGACACCCAAAACTTGTTAGCTCAATCAGAATCTTTAAAAGCGAGTAGAATGGAGGTACATTTATTTATTTGTGGTTATTGAACATAAATATTTCCTAGAAGATATGCATAATAAAATTCTTGAACGTGATGGGAAAAGATCCTACAACCATATATCTCGATAGAAGTAACACATTTATATCTTATATTGTAAGATGTTAATGCCCATTATTATTCTTTAGGGTTTTTGTCATATTGGAGCCGCCAAATCTTTGTTAATTATATACGAGACCTTCAAATCTTCATATTTCTAAATTAGACCTCCAAAATATTTGTGTTTAAAAGAAATGGGGACCTTATTAGAAACAATTTAATTTATTTGGAGGACTCAATTTAATAGATTTAGGGGTCTTATTTTAAATAACCTAATGGATTTGGGGGTAAATTATTCCTCTGCATATTTGATATATTAAAATAAATGGGTTTCGCATATATGCCCTCAACTCAAAATTTTCAATTTTTCCTCCAAATCTTGATATTTGCAAAATTACCCCCTATTCTCTTACATTTTTTTTCTACCCCTCACACTTAAAAATTTTAGTTTTTAAATGGAAAAATCTTGTAAAACTTATTGGAAACTATTGGAAATTTTGGCATTGCCTTGTTTAGAAACCAACATTGTTTAGTTGGAGGGGTAAAAAACCTAATATGTTTTTTTGGCTTTTATTTATTATTTTTTATTGGGAGGGGATTAAAATGGAGTACTGGCAGGGTTAACAGTCACTTAAAACAATGGAGTAATATGTAAACAGTTTCACTTTCGAACATAGGTTTGTGGACTGCGCTATATTGGGGTATTTGTGAAGTTTCAGTAAAAAGGAATTAGGACGAAGTCCTATTGGTTAGTAGGATTGACATTGTGGGAAATGCCTTCTGATTTTGAGGTAGTTGCTGAAGAGACTACATCATCCCAATAAGCATGGTTTCTTTTCCGGCTTGACACAAGCTTAATATTTGAAATTGGCTCACATATGAATTTACCAAAACAATGGAAGAAAGGAATTCGTCAATTGATGCATTCTGGACATTCTCTAATCTATGAATTTGGTTTCAGTGTGACATAATGGCGTTGTTGAGCATATTGTTATGATGTCTACAGGTAAGTGAGTGTCATCAGACAGGATTGCGTTATATTCAAGGCAATCAGGCAGCGCAGATTATAAAGGAATCGAAGTTGATACTTCGAGATTTGCTGATATTTATAGTTGATACCTTTGTAACGGGTTTACTGTGTAGGACAGCGGCTTGATTTTACGCATGTTATAGTAGATGTTTTCTAGTTTCTCGGCAAATGTAATGTGTCATTAGAAAATGCACTCTTGATGATTGCAGAGGATTTGAGAATTTTCTTCTGTACCCATATTTTGACTTGATGTAATCTTTCCCTTGTCTGCATGAGCGCAATAATTTTGTTTCCACTTCCTGAAGGTCTTTTATTTTGATTCCTATGAGACACGCTACACATCAATTTTGTACCAGTACAATGTAAACCTTATAGTTGCGCTCCGATCTTGGTATTTATTTGATCAGATTTGTTCTTTTTGGAATGTTTGTTTCGTTATTGATTCGAATACAATGAAACGCGGTAGTTGAATGTTGGTTTTTTTAATCTTCTGTAGCTATCTTTACCTGCTGTAGCTTCTCTCTTAACTTGCCACTTTTTAATAAAGAATAGATGCTTGCACATCTAATTTCTCAATTGAAGATATATGTCACGGAACTAGAGACCAAGATGAGTCTACTTCCTATGCGTATTAATCACACTAACGTAAGGAGTATAAATGTTGATGCGAATAGTAATTGAATAGGATGTATTGTAAGTTTTCAGTACTTCACTTTACTTCACAGTCATGCCACTGACCCCCTCGCTCTTTTTCTCTCCACCACAAAATAGAAAAAACCAAAAATACATAGAGCGCAACTATTATCATATATCAAGAGTTAAAAAAAATAAAATAAATTAAAACTTTAATAACAGCACGGAAGAATGAAGAAAATAAACTGATTGGAAATGTCAGTGGGAAAAGACAATAAACAGAGAACTAATGAACCGTTACGTTGACATATCCTTTTTTTAAGGAATGATTTTGTTGTTCCTTATTTAATAAATCTTTTATTTTATTTTATTTTTTTGTCATGTATAAATGTATGGGGACAAATTATACATGATAACTAGCGTCTGAGACTGGCAGCTTCAACCAAGACTAAGTACAAATTAGTAATGCCTTTTAAGAGGTGATGGCAATATTGTAAAGGTTCTGAAATAGAGAGCTCTCAAATGTGGATGAAGTTTCTTGACCTCAAAACGACAAATTCTTGTGGGTGCGTAGATGAATTTATTGTGTTAGCATGCTAATCTATTTTTCTTTTTTTAATCCATGTATGTAAGAAATTCACTTGCTGTATCTGAAATTAGCAGAAATTATAAGGAAAAGTATATAACAAATGATTCTAGCAAGGAATTCTTTGGCGAAGTGATGACAAATGCCAAATTCATGAAAGCTACTTTCAACGAACCCGCCCACTTTGCCCAAAAATTACATTGCTCATGACTTGAAGTTGAAGAAAACTTCTAAATAAACTCATTCATATTTTTTTTTTCTAAAAATAGACCCCCTTGAATTTTTTTTACAAAAATAGACTCATTTTATCTTAATCCGGTTCGGGTTGCCAACCCCGACTATTTAGGAGGTTGTAAAACCCCAATTATAACCCTAAACCCTAACATTCTATGCACTAAGTAGTCGGGGCTGACAACCCCGACTATTTAGGAACCAGATTAAGATAAAATGAGCCTATTTTTGTAAATAAAACTCAAGAGGTCTATTTAAAAAAAAAAATATGAATGGGTTTATTTAGAAAATTTCTTGGACTTGAGTTACCAGCAGACCACTGCTCACGCATTTAACCACTAAATAAGACTCAAACCTGTTGCCAAAAAAGCTCTATTTTCTGGTAAAAGTTTATGTCATTTTGGTACCGAGTATTTATTTTTCCTGATGAAGATACATAAACATAACACCAACCGGTTGTAGAATTCTGAGAACAAATTGGATATATTAAGCACTTAACTATGTAATCTTATTTATCTAATATGGGCAAATCCCATTCAATTAATCACTAATTAGTGTACTAATTAACTACTCCAATCTTTTTTTCCTTTGATTTTTTTTATAATTTCCCCCATCTTTCACATTTCTTTTTTTTTTGCAAGATATCCTATTTCATGCCTTTACTCCCAACATCACCACAACTTCCCTCCCCACCCAACCCCCCTTATAAATACCATCATTCTTCTCTTCTCTATATTCATCCTCTCTCATTCATTCATTCATTCATTCATCCAACAAAAATAAGAATAAAAATGAACAAGACCTCTCTCCTTGTTCTCTTCTCCCCCCTCCTCCTGTTCTCCCTCTCCCTCGCCGCCGACCCCGACATGCTCCAGGACCTCTGCGTCGCCGATCTCACCTCCGGTAACTCTTGTTTTCAGTGTTTGTTTCACCTCTCACGTCTCCGGGTGCATGCCATCGAATTTACACGTAATTTTCTGCAGGAATCAAAGTAAACGGCTACCCATGCAAGCCTGCGGATGCAATCTCTGCCTCTGACTTCTCATTCACGGGCATCTCCAACCCTGGGCCCACAAACAACACGATGGGCTCCCTCGTCACGGGCGCCAACGTCGAGAAAATCCCAGGCCTCAACACCATGGGAGTCTCCATGTCTCGCATAGACTATGCCTTGGGCGGCCTCAACCCCCCTCACACTCACCCTCGAGCGACCGAGATGGTGTTCGTCCTCGAGGGCCAGCTCGACGTGGGATTCATCACCACAGCAAACAAACTCATAGCGAAAACCATCACCAAGGGCGAAGTCTTCGTGTTTCCAAAGGCATTGGTGTATTTCCAAAAGAACAGTGGAAATGGGACTGCGTCGGTGATTGCAGCATTTGACAGTCAGTTTCCAGGGACGCAGTCTATCGCTGCGACGCTGTTTTCTGCGTCGCCCGCTGTGCCTGATCATGTGCTGACGAAGGCGTTTCAGGTTGGGACTAAGGAGGTGGAGAAAATTAAGGGAAGGTTTGCCCCTAAGAATTAAGTGAAATCATCGATGATTTCGTGTATATCGTTTTTTTTCTGTTGGTGGTGAGTAAATCGAAGGTTGTTTGTTCTTGTTGTGATAACCGTGATTTCACGAGGAGGGCATGCATTTACAGTTTGTTTATTCTTCGTTTTGTTTCGGAGACTTTAAGATGGTATCAGATAAAACCAGATTCAATACACTGTGAAACTCTTTCAATAGGTGTAGTTGATTAGAGATGAGGGACCCTAGAACCACTATGCTATTTATATAAACAACAAGATTCTTCCTGTCTTTGATGCGTACTTTCCACTTCGCTTTGAAAACATGTTCACCAATTTTCTATGCTGCTCAGCTTAGAGTGGGTGCTTTTAAGGAAAACTCGCATTGATATATAATTGCTGGGATATTAGAGCCATTAGGACTTGAAGTTGAGATAGATATTATGATTTTTTTGTTAGAAGAGCATGTCATGTACTTTTCCTTTATCTTGACCACTATAACTACCATTGGATCCATTAATTGTTGCTTTCTCATATTCTAATTCCAGCACGATGCTTGTGATAAAGGTGATATAGTTCCTTTACATCGAGAACGATGTCCAATCTGGTTCTTGTCAGGTCTGCGCTTATATGTTTGCCTTCGATCTTCTCAACTGAAGAAATCATATCGACAATTAGTTCGAATGAACTAACATATTTCGAGTTTTAGCTGAAGTCTTCCTCTCATCCAGTTTGAGTGTTTAACACTTTTTCATACTCGGTTTTTTTGTTAAATCCTGTGCTGTTAATTTATCAATGAGTACAGACCACACAAGTTTTACTATTTCTTTGCTATGTTCTTATTTGTTATAACGCTGTGTGGATCTGCCGTTACCAAATGATTATATCAAAAATGCAATAACATAAGTACTCTCTGAATAAAACATGATTATGTTTAGCAGGACCTAATAACGTTCATTTTTAGTCAAATAAATAGATATTCAACTTTCATGTTAACGCAGCGCGGAGGTGATAATCTCGGAATCCACCAAGGGGTGTTCTCTGAATCCACAAAGAACAATCTCCGAATCCACGAAGAAAATATTAAAAGAGAAATTTTATTGATGAAAAATTATCCCTCTAGAGCTTAATTACAATACTCTGCTTAAATATAAATAAACAAGACTCCTATTGCGACTCAAACTTTACCAAAAATAGAAATAACAAAACTCTTCCTAAAAGACTCCCTGGGATTAGAGAAGTAAATTGGTCAAATTTAGAATCAAACCGGATTTGCTTCCTAATCAAAATAGACTCCTAAAACATTACCTAAAATAGTAAAAAAATTGATAAAAACCTGATATCTATCAATCCGGAGGGAATTTTACAAAACGGACGGCGGCAAACCAAACATCGGTAGGTTTGGTCGAATCCGTCTCGAAAAAATACACGATTTTTATATATAATTTGTCCAATTCCGACTTACGGTTCGAAAAATATGACCCTTCTTCGTGGCAAGTTATTTTCCTCGACCGGGTCCGCGTTTGGGCTTTTGTATGTCCCGCTTCTCCATAAATTTGTCCACCGTGAGTTCTACATCACATTTACATGACAATAAAAGTAAGCAAACACATTACACTTCATGATTGCTAGTGTATACGTCAAAAGATGATTCCAGCGTTCTACGTTTGTATGATACCAAAAGGATCGAAAACGAAAACGAGACCCTACAACATATATATGCTATAGTTAATGCTCAAGTTTTATATTCTCAAATCATTGCAGCATCAAACACCCAAATCCATAGGCTGTGCTCACTTGCACATCAGAAAAGTAACCTGAAACCTATTGGGCATAACCTAAGTAAGTTAAAAATAGATTAATGTCTGGATAAAGTTCAGTTTTTAATTGTGAAACTGTCTACAGATTTTGCTTATGGCTCTAGAGGAAGTATCATATAATCCTCAGGTTTTGCTTTCAAGGACATGACTGAGTCTACACAAGTCCTTTTGAACCAAGAAGAATTCTGAGTGAATAATAGTAAAATTTTGAGTTAGTTGTTAAAATTCTGAGTTAGTTGTTAAACTTTTGAGTTGAATGATAAACTTATTAGATAGTTGTCAAACTTATGAGTTAGTTATTAAAATTTTGAGTTAGATGTTAAGTTTCTAAGTTAAATGATAAATGTTATGACAAACTCCCCAGGATAAGCTAATATCAATCACACGAGACACGAAAAATATGAAGAACACACGAACACAAAGATATACGTGGTTCGGCTTATAGCCTACATCCACGGGCGAAGGAGGAGAAAGGTTTTACTAAATAGTGAAGAATACAAAGTGGAGATCTCTCAATCACTCAATCCCAAATAACACCCCAATATTTCTGTACAATCTCTCTAAATAAAAGGAACAAAAAAGGAAGAATATCAAATAGGCTTCACAAAAAAATTTCTCTTCTTGATTGGTGCTCTGAAGATTGATGATTCTGATTGGCTTGAAAGACTGTTCTTATACAGCCTTAAATATCCTAACTCCTTGCTGTCTAAGGAATAAGAGTTCTAATAGGAATAGAAGTCCACATGTCCTAAAACCCAATAAGAGTCCAAGTAGGAATAAACCTCTTATATGATTGGTTATGCAAAGTCTAATGTGGGACTCTTGATCAAAACAAACCAAGCCATAAAAGGAACTCCCAAAACACTATGGATTTGAGTATTTGAGACAACCTATAACAAATCTCCATCTTGACTCAAATGCATAGAAAATTCCTCACTCTAAAATAAGCTAACTTACTCCACCTTCTCCAATAGCCCCCCCGCAGGGCATCAAGTGCGGCAAATATCGATCAAGTCTAATCCCGGCTTGAACTTGCCACCTGAAAGAGGCCTCCTCAACAAATCGACTGAATTGTCACGACGACCGTAACTCTTAGTAAAGTCATCGACAATGTATAAGCTACTGTATCTTCATATCTTCACGGTGGTCGGATATCTCGTCTAGACTGATCTCTAGCAATAGTGTATTCCTGTTCTTCCTATAGCTGCTGAGGTGTTTCATCTGCTTGAACAGGATCTGGCTGTTAATCATGAATTTTTAATTTCACATTGTGTCCTGTAGTGCACGCCTTATCATCAACTGCAACCGATGACCGTTTCTGATAGAACATAGTAGACTCATCAAAAGTAACATCACGGCTGATAATAATCTTAGAAAACTTTGGATCATGACACCACAACCTAAAACTCTTAACACCCGATGCATAACCTAGGAATATGCACTTCTTTGCTCATGGCTTAAGTTTTCCTTGACTAAATGCGCATATGCAAGGCAACCAAATATTCTAATATTAGAATAATCTGTAGGCTTAACAGACCAAATCTCCTCTGAAGTTTTACAACTAATAGCAATAGATGACGACCGATCCGTATTCACCGCTTCCACCTAGTATTCCTTGCCCAAACTTGCATTGAACATCATACAACGAGCTTTCTCTAATAGGGTTCTGTTCATACGTTTTTCCACTCCATTCTGTTGAGACGTGTGAGGGGCTGTACGATGTGTAACGATTCCTTCATTCTTACAGAACTCATTAAATTCTCCTCCACAAAGCTCAAGCCCACTATCAGTTCTAAACCTCTTAATCAGCCTCCATGTTTGCTTCTCAATCAAAGACTTCCACTGCTTAAAAGTCACAAACACCTCATATTTATATCTCAAAAAGTAGACACAAACCTTCCTGGAGTAGTCATCAATGAAGGTCAACAAATATCTGGAAGTATCACCCTTTGAGGCAACTTGAGAAGGTCCCCAAAGATCTGAATGAATATAATCTAAAGTACCTTTAGTCTGATGCACTGCCGTACTGAAGCCGACTCTTTTATAATTTCCAAAGATGCAATGCTCGTAAAATCTTAATTTTTCTGTACTCTGTCCATATAAAAGACCCTTCTTGCTCTCACTCATATGACCAAGTCTCATATGCCATAATCTATTAGTATCAGCACCTGATATCGATAATGCAACTGCAGTCGAACCGATAACGATAGTATCCTGCAAAACATACAAGCTGCCAATCTTCTTTCCTTTCATAACTAGAGAACCTTTTATAACCCTAAGAACTCCACCTTCACCGAAAAAATTACACCCAATGCTATCAAGAGTGCCCAAAGAGATGAGATTCTTCCTTAAATCTGGAACATGCCTAACATTTGTCAAAGTCCTGATGACTTCATCATGCATCTTATTCCTAATTGTGCCTTTCTCAATAGTCTTGCATGAGACATTATTCCCCACGAGAACAATTCCACCATCAATAGCTTCATAAGTGGTGAAACCAGTCTCGATTAGAACACATATGATAGGAACAACCCGAATCCAAAATCCAATCATCTATGCTCCTGTTTAAATCATCTGTAGCCAACAAAATCACATCTTTAGCAATATCAACTTCAACGGAGTCCACCTTTGAATTTTCTTCATACTCTTCTTGTTTATTTTTGTTCGTTAATCTGTAACAATTGGTCTTGATGTGCCCTTTCTTCTTGTAATATCTACATGTCAGATTCATGTGCTTCAACTTATACATGTTACCTCCAAAGCCTCTTTCTTCC